CCCAAATCCTCTGCCATCTCCTTGTCCTTCAGTCAGCCTGGGACTCTCCTGACACCATGTCCTGTGGCCCTTTCCCTGCCTACTCCATGTCTTGAAGTGGAGGCTGAGGGAGGTGCTGCCTGGACCTCAGGGTGGACTCTACCCCAGAGGCTGCAGATGCCCCAGAAGGCTGACTCAGGTGTGCGGCCAGGAGGCTGAGGCCCTGTTGCACCTCTGTGGTCACAGCCTTGGATAAGTCATTCCAACTGGGGAGACTTGATATGAAAGAGGCACCTTCTCTGCCTCTTGGAACAAGAACGGGTCAAAGGCATAGCGAGTTATGGGTGCAGCCAGAGCTGGGACTGTGCCAAGGTCACAGAGAGGTTAGGGCCAAGGAGGGCAGCTCCTGCTCTCCTGCTGCCTTGGGTGCAGCCCTGTCCTGGGCAAACCTCCCCCTCTTCCGCCCTGCTGGAGTGACTAGACTGCCTGGCCCAGGGATATGCCACCTTGTCCTGGGCTGGCTGTGGAGCATCCTGCAGGTGGGACTCCATAACGGACGTAAGCCAGGTGCATCCAGCAGAGTAACCTACAGGACAGAGACCTGGCTCACCTTCAGGTGGCCAGACTCAGGCACCACACACCCCTCCCCGAACAGGGGCTACAGTGCCCAGTGGGAGAGCAGCACGGTGGCCCGCCCAGCTGGAGGCACTGGGACTGGCCCACTGCCCCTTGGAGTGGGGAATGCATCAGAGAACAGGTCAGGGAGGCAGGAAGTGGGAGCTCCAGGCTGCTTGGAGGAAATTTGCTGCATTTTGCTGCAATATCTGGGCAGGCTTAGTGCACCCCAGCAGACCTCTCCCCCTCCCCCATTCTCTCTCTCTTCTTTACACACATCCCTATCTCATAAGCACATACGCCAGCCCCCAGCCCCCACTCTGTTTCACGGCTCGCGCTCTCTCTCTCTCCATCACACACTAGTATTTGGGTCTGTGAAGTCACCATCTCCTTCCTGTGACTGCCATTAGAACACATACAATGACAGACCTCCATTTCACACTCACTGGCCCAGCAGCCGCACTACAGAGACACAGGGCCCTTTGATGGCAATAATTAATTTAGTCCGATATTGCATAACATCCTAAAAAGCTTTCCAGGGCGAGCGCCTGCCGGCCGGACACCATGATCTCATCAATATTGCATTGCACCCGGCACCACTCATGTGGTTTCATTAAAATTTAATTTGCGGTTTAAACCTGCAGTGTTTCCTGAAGAGGATGGGGGCGGGCAGAAAAGGGAAGACCGGCTCAGGTTGGGGGCAAGCCGGTCTGGGGGAGGGGAATCCCATGTCCCAGGGGAGGGGGCTTGCCCCCCCCCCCACCCGCTGGAGCTGGAACAGCCCCTGTGTGGTTGGCCAGCTGGCGATGCTGTGGATGCTGACGCTGCTGCAGAGAGGGATTGGACCATTCATAGAAAATGCTTCTCCAAAGAGCTGCTGCTTTTTCCTCCACGGCTGCTCCCTCAGGCCCCGGAGGCCAGGTGCCAGGCAAGGGGGTTTCTCTGGAGATGCTGGAGGAGGGCCAGATGGCAGGGAGGGGGACTTTTTCCAGAGAAATGTCCTTAATTGGCCCTCCAGAACTAAAGACTGGTGCTGTAGCCCTGCCCTTGCCCTTCTGTGGCCTCACGCGAGTTACTCACCCTCTCTGAGCGCAGGGCACTCTACCATCTGGTAAGGTCAATACAGGGGCCTCCCAGGACAGAGTGAGGCTCAGCTCAGCCAGTGACCACGACCAACCCAGTGTGGCATGGGGGGGGAATAGCAACAGACCAGGAGACCCTGCTGGGGAAATGCCTGTCCAAAGGGCCTTTGTGACTCCATGACTTCCTCCAGCCCTCATTCCCTGACACAGAGGATGTCAGGTGGCCCTTGTCCTGGTGCAGCCTCAGACCCTCCTGGGACTCTTCTAGCAGAGGGCATTTTGTTTCTAGCCCGGGAGCCCCAGGGGGGCTGGTTTTGCTCCTCTTCCCAGTGAGGGAGAAGTGTTTTCCCCACCCCCATGGGAGCTCAGCTTCTGGGGGGAGGAGGGGAGTGAGGTGAGGGGGGCAGACTGAGCAGAGAGGACACTGGGGGACTTAATGGAGTTGCCTGGGCAGGCCTGCCCAGGGGCTTCTTCTGTCCAGGTCACGATTGTTTCCTTGTGGAAGGCAGCCATCTTCTCACACTGCTCCACAGTGATTAAGTTCAGCCTCCTGGGGCAGCTGGAGAGGACAAATTGCTTTGTAGAATTGATTTGCTACAGAAGCATTTACCTACAGCACACCCTCAGCTGCGACCACAGTGAGGGAAGTGCTGTCCCCTCCCCGCCCAGTACATGGGCTCTCACTTGTCATGCGTCATCAGGGACAGGGACCTGGACACCACTCACCTTGGTGCGTGTCCCAGCCCACAGTCTCCATACTCATGGCCCCATGGTCATTGACTGGGGAGTGGAAGCAGTGATGGTCACTTATACCCTGTCTAGGCATTTAATACCCTGGGGGGGCGGTGCCATCTTTTTCTTCTGGCACAACCACTGGATCCCTGAATGAGCGGCCTCTTGCTGATCTGATGGATATGTGGACATGTCGTGGGAAGGAAAAACAAATGGGGAGGGGCCAGAAAGCAAGCATGCCATTGGGAACCATTGGTCTTGGGCTCCTTGTTATTGTACCATACTTATGGCTGCCCTGGTCCGACCCACCTGATTGATTTGTCCACCCTAACACCCAGCTCCTTTCTGAGCCTGGTTACCAGCTTCTGTTTCAGCTTCGAGCTCACCAGTGCCTTTCCACCCTCCTCCCCTCCTCCTTCCCCTCTTCCAATTCCTCCTCCAACTTCTCCTCTTTCTCCTTCTCCTTCTTCTTCTTTTTGAGACAGGGTCTCACTATGTAGATCTTGAACACTAGATCTTCCTGTCCCAATGTGCTGGGATTATAGGTGAGTGGCACCATGCCCAGCTGGCAATATCTCTTCTGTGTAAGTCAACCCCAGGTATCTTTTGCTCTTGGCAGCAGCAGCTGGCCTGGTAATCTGTCTGCATATTGGTGGGATGTGGGTTGCACCGGGGGGCACAGTAGGGCTGGGGGTCAGAACAAATGAAGGCCACTGCAGAAGCAGATGACATGTGTGTGTGTGTGTGTGTGTGTGTGTGTGTGTGTGTGTGTTCTGGGGAGACCAAAGGAATTTCCCCACCTGAAGCCTTAATGGTTATGAGTGGCAGCCTCCCCCTCCCCCACCCCAAGCCTGGCTTGTGTCCCGAGGCAAGGATTCCCAGCTGTGCGTCTTTGCACACTGACCCCTGTGTGTGCCAGTGCACATGTCTGAAAGTTGGGGCTAGCCATGTGAGGACAGGTGGGAGGCCAGCCAGAGAGGACTGATGCATAGCACCTGTTCAGTGTTGCGCACCAAAGATTCTCATCTCAGCCAGGGAGGCCTGCATAGCTGCAGGTGCCACATGCACCCCAGGCTCATTCTCCTTGTCATCCTTGGCTTGCAGTTCCCTGCCCTCCTGGGGACCAACTCCACAGAATCAGCTCCAGTCGGGGCCTCTGGAGTCTCTGACTCTGGGATTCCTGTGGTCAAGATCTGGCTTCTCGTGATTGTTTTTAAAGTGTTTTGTTGCTGGGAAGCCTCAAGCCGCTCCGCAGAGTGTCATAAATAAAGGCAATAACCCAGCCATCAGGAGGCTTTGGGCGGCATTTCCACTGGGGCATCCTCCACACACACAGAGTGTGGTAAAGCTATTCATTGAGGCCCCTCATTTGTCACTCTTTGGCCCCAAGGCAGGGTGATGGTCCTTGGGTGTTTTCTGGAAGGCTGTGAGGAGCCACCGAACCTGGGCACAGGTGGGATTTGTGGGGAGCTGCAAAGGAAGAAGGGAGTGGAAGGCAAGGACCAGTTCAGTTTGGTGAGAAGACGCTGCAGGAATGGTAGAAGCCAGCAAGAGAGGGAGCTGGAGCCATCCCAGGTCTCAGGTTGTCTAGGGGCCTGGCCTTACATTCAGGTCTGAGAGGACATTTCATGTTTGCTGAGGGTTTGCTCCAGCTATGTGTTCCCCAGGAGCAGAGCATAGAAAAGCAGGACTGGGGCTGGCAGACTGGGTCTCTCCAGAACAGGGTGAGTGTCTCTCCATCCCCAGGCAGTACTGAGGCAGGAGGGGGCTCTGCACCCTCCTTCTCCCTCCTGATGTCCACCAGGGATCTGAGCCCCAAGAGCCTCATGCAGGCCAGGATGAGCAGAGCTGGCCAGACCGTGGCTGCTCTGACCTGGTCACCTTCCCTGAGGCCTGACAGTACTCGGCTCCCTTCTCAGCAGTGGCCTAATTGGGTTTTACACGACCTCCGGTGCTGGACTACATGTCCCAGTCCCTGTCTGCCTCCAGGCCTCCCAGGCTCATCAACTGCCCAGATTCCACCCAGCAAGGTCAAGCCAGCAGAGAGGAGTCGGGGCGCCTCATATGCTCGTGCTCCTTGAGGGTGACCTCCGTGGGAAGCTTGGCACTTGGCCTACCTCCAGGAATAAGAAAGGGAGTCCCAAGACAAGGGCACCCTCAGCAGCACCCAGGAGAGTCACAGCCTGCATGAACGTCGACAGGGGCAGGGGCTCCTCCCTGATGTCGTTTCCCTGGTGTGAGTGAGGAGCAATGGAGTCCTTGGGGCTGGGCCCTTCAGTAAATGACATGATGAGTGTCAAGCACAGGTGTGGCGCCAGGTGAGAAGGTCCCTCTGTCCATCCATCTCCCCTCTTTCATCACCCCCGGTCTATAGGACAGAGGATCAGACACACAGGCAAGACACACTTGGTACAGTCTAGTGTCTCCGGAAGCACCACTGTCGGCTTCCCCACTTGCAGTCAGAAATGCTGAGTCTACAAGTGGCCAAGGGATCAGTCCTAGGTCCCAGAGCTGTTCCAGGTGTGCCCAGGACCCAAATGGGTCTGCCCGATCCCAGCGCTCTCTTGCCTCTGCCCAGTATATGTAGGTGGCCTCCTTCCTGCTCCAGGTGACCAGATGTTCAGCAGCTTTTTACCCAGAGAGGTCAGGGTGGGACGTAACCAGAGGCCTGACTCCAGGGGTTTCACGTGTCAGGTCCGGCCACTTGCCCCAACAACCAAAGAAAGACATGAGACGGTGAAGCGCAAAGGAAGGGAATTTATTACTCAGCGCAGGCAACCCCTGGGAAGAAGCAAATTAAGCACTTTGTGCCATCTTCAGGGCACAGGTGTGAGCTTTAGGGTAAGTAGAGGAAGAATTGGGACAGGGAGAGAGAGGAGTACATAATTGTTAAGCAGTCCCTGTCACAGGTGTGGTCCTAACCTGGTGGTCACGGGTGGTCCGGTTGCTCATTGTCTCAGGATTGGATGGGTGGACCCTTGTTACGATAGAGTCACTGCTGCCTGGTGGGGGTTCTGTCCTGCGCAGGCTCTGCTGTTCTTTTCCTGGGGGAGCAGTTTCTGTTGCAAAGATGTTATCGATCAGTCTTGTCCTAAGGAACCCAAGATTACAGGAGAGACTCAGAGTAAAGGAGACAGATGCAAAATGGAGGCAAGGACACCAAGCTTTTCTCCTGGTTCTTTTTGGACATTGGCAGGCCCAATTGAGGAGTTAGTGCTTTTCAGCAAAAGTGGTTTCTGAGAACCTCTTGTAAGGAGGGTGTCCCTACCTTGTCTCTTAGCAGGTCACCACCCTGGTGCCTTTGCTGGCCACCTGCTTGCCCTTCTCTCGGCTCAGTGGACAGCTGAATGTGTCCTTGCTTGGGTTCCGACAGGTTCCAGCTTGTTTTTCAAGACCTTGTCAGCAGGGGCCTGCTGGGAAGCCGGTGCTTCTCTAATAGGAACAGCTTGTCCTGTGCTCTGCAGACTGGAAGAGCCGCATTCAGTTGACCCTACTGACCCAGGCCCTTTCCTCGAGAAGACGGAGCCTCCAAACGGTTGATGGGGCAGAGATGACTTTGTTTTTAAAACGAGATCAAGGCTTTTACTAAGTCTTGCAGGCAGAGTGACCTGACCAGGGAGGTTTGGCTGAAATCAGGCAGGTGACCTCAGTGGCTGTTCACCTCCCTCCCCACTTGGAACTCCCCATGTCCTCCTCCAGACTCTGGTCTGATTTCAGAGTCAACTCTGCTCTGTTTCACATCTCCTGCAAGCAGAGAGGCATGAAGCCTGCCTTCCAAGACTACATGAATAATAGAACTGAGATCATCCTGGTTAAAAATAGATATTCTTCTTAATAAATATTTTACGTACTGTCTTTAGGATATACAGATCCCCTGGCTGAGGAGTAAAAGCAAACCCTGCTATCGAACCCAAGGAATGTAGGAAAGGCTCAAGGCATGCTGAGGCTCTTGCTCAAATCCACCCACACAGCAGTGACGGGGGTGCAGACAGCCTGCACGCTGTAACGGGAAACGCATAGCCAGGAGCGGCTTGGGAATTCTTGGGCACATTAGTCACCTATGAATTTTATGGAGGCAAGTCAATTATAAAATGCCCTTGGCTAGTGAGGCTTGCAGTTCAGAGAAGCCAAAAGCAGGTTCTTAGGTTTCTGCTATGTAGCAAGATCACCGTGCGCAGAAGCCCGTGGTGTCTGGGGACTGCAGTGGCAGAGAGGAAATTGAGACGGGGAGGCGGAGGCTGTTGGAGTTTAAAGTGCTGGCCCTTTTCAGAAAACTTTGTGAACGCAAACAACCTGAAGGTCTGCATTAATTAGAACATTATGATCCTCCAGGTACAGCAAAGGAATTTGAGCCGTCTTGAAGCCCTCCTGAGTTTCCCCTGGAAGACAGGGTCAGGCAGGAAATGGGGGGGGCTGCCCAGCACACAGACCACTTCTAAATGACCCCCACTTTGCAGCCCCAAGGGAAAGCCTGGCGTGTCCCTATTGGATGAGCTGGAAACAGAATATTGGGGCATAGAGTGTGCTGGGCAAGGTCAGAGTGGCCCAATGGGGGTGAGGACCTGCATTTCCATTGCCCTCTGCCTGGTGGGCTTACATGACTTCCCTGGACTGAGCACAGATGCCCTTTTCTGTGAGGGCCACCTGCCCAGGGTCGGGTCTGCTGTCTCCCTTTATAACGCCCAAGGACATCTAGTGTTGGCACTCAGTAGCCTGGATGGCCTGTAGGGTTCTAGGTCTGTCTCCTCTCCAGAGAGTAAGTTCCTTGAACCCCTGGCTGAGGGTGTGGCTGATGGATGTGGATGGATGGCTGGATGGATGTGAGGTGGGTGGGTAGGTGGATGGGTGGGTGGATGGATGTACTGACAGACACGTGGATAGATGCATGGATGAGGAAAGCCACCTTGTAGCAGACTCTAAAGGAGACCTGATCACAGGAGAAAATGGGAACTCAGTCGCCTCTTACTTCAGGTTATAACATAGGCGCCCATATGCTTGAACCTTAGCTCTCTAGCTACCCTCCACGTCAGGTCCTAAATTATTGACTCTGGGAAGGCAGGCTTGGGAACAGAGATGGAGAGGGATGGCCCCAGATTTATGGAGGAGGTACAGTGGGAGGTAAAGAATTTGCCTGGCCTCACCTAGATGGCCTGCCTCTAGAGATGTCAAGGATGGAGTCTGGGGCCACTGTCAGTAAGCCAAGAGGAGATCAGGACATGATGAGGTCTCCTGATGTCCCCCTTTGTTGAGCCGGGTGTTTGCACATCAGGCTATCAGAACTCAGTGTTTTCAGAAGCCAGTGCATTCCTAAGAGTCTGCTCACACCCATGCAGGCTCTAGCAGGCTGGGCTTGACCCCAAGAAGTTAAAAGAGGTTAAAAGATAAAAATGACATCCAGCCAGGCAGGGTGGCTCATCACTTTAATCCCTGCTACCTGGGAAGCGAAGATCAGGAGGATCGCTGTTCGAGGCCAACAGGGGCAAAAGGTTAGTAAGCACCCCATCTCAGTCAAAAAGCTGAGTGGCAGCACACACCTTTGGTTTCCGCTATACAGGAGGCCAAAGGCAGGCGGATTATGATCTAGGCTAGTCCTAGGCAAAAGTTCAAGACCCAACTTGGAAAATAACTAAAAAGAAAAAGGGCTGGGGGCTTGGCTCAAGTAGTAGAGCACCTGCTTAGCAAGCATGAGGCTCTGAGTTCAAACCCCAGCAACACCAAGAAAAAAAATGACATGGAATTATTTCAAAACAAAGGATGTTAAAAAAAAAAAAACCTATGCCACCATAAATATAGTTGTTTTAGGTTTTTATTTGGAGTATGTGAAAGGAAAAAAATCATGAAATATTTTCATTTTTCTGTGATCGAGCAAACTCTTAAAATATTAAACTATCATTTAATAATTGATTAAAACTAATCTCAGTGGGAGCCAATCACCCATTTGGCAGGAGCTCTTTAAACTTTTAGGGGCTTTTAGCTCCCCTGGCTCCTAACCTTTCTCTTGTCTGATTCATTCAGGACTCAGCAGATATTGTGGCCTCTCGTGGGTTTATGATGTCTCTATTGACCTGTGGGATGGCTGAAAGGAGCTTGACTGAGAAGCAGAAAAGTCCTAGGTATACCATGACTGAAGGAGGATGGAGGACAAAGGAGGAAGGTCCGTGTACAACCGGACCTCTGTGTCTAAGACCAGGTCAGGAATCTGAAAGAATAGCCCTGTGGTGCTCAAAGCCACTGATGTCCTCTGACGAGTTTCCCACACACTGACAGCTACTAACAACTGCTGGTCCACTTTTCCCAGGGCCACTAAAACCATGGAGCAAAGTGGTTTAGAACGTGGGCTCAGTTAGCAGACTGCCTGGGTTCAAAACCTGCCTAGTAAGGGTTAGAGGCATGGCTCAAGTGGTAGAGTACCTGCCTAGCAAGCACAAGGTCCTAAGTTCAAACCCCAGCACCATCAAAAAACTAAAATACAAAAACCTGCCCAGCTGCCCAGCGCTGGTGGCTCAAGCCTGTAACCCTAGCTGTTCAGGAGGCAGTGATCAGGAGCATTGAGGATCAAAAGCCAGCCCCAGCAAATCGTTCATGAGACCCTATCTCAAAAAAACCCCATCACAAAAAAAAAAAGGGCCGGCAGGTGACTCAAGTGGTAAGAGCACTTGAGGTAAGAGCACTGCAAGCTTGAGGTCCTGAGTTAAAACCCCAATATTGCCAAAAAAATAAAAATAAAACCTGCCCAACAAGTTACTTCTTATGTGACCTTGGAACCCCCTCTCTAACAGGCTGGTAAGATCACGAGTTTAAAGATTTTGGCATTGGCCAGGGCTGGCTGAGGGCTCCATATGCAGTCACTGTGCTTGAAAAGAACTCAAAGGAAAGCCTGACACTGGTAGCTCAGGCCTGTAGCCCTAGCTACTTGGGAGGCTGAGATCAGGAGGATCACGGTCCTAAGCCAGCCTGGGCAAATAGTTCATGAGAGCCCAGAGCAAAATAGACTGGAGTTGTGGATCAAGCGGTAAAGTGCCTGCTTTTCAAGCAGGAAGGCCTGAGTTCAAACCCAAGTCCCCCCCACCCCCCCAAAAAAAAGAAAGAAAAAGAAAGAGCTCAAAGGGGACTCTGAATATAAAAACACCCCCTTAGGGCTGGATGTAGCTTAGTGGTAGAGTTCAAGCCTAGCATTCACAGGCCCTGGGGTGGATCTGAAACACCAAAAGAGGAAAAATGACTTAGAATCCTGTGAGACAAAAAAAAGATGGTGTGGACACCTGAAGCCCCCCAAACTAAGCACAACCTCAGAGGGCTACTTGCACACTGTGTTCACAGTAGCGAGAAGGTAGAAAGAACTCAGCTGCCGGTGGACACACACCACAGCGCAGTGGACTTACACGTGCTAAGTGACATGGGCCAGACACAAAAGGGCAAGTCCTAGAGCTGCCACATTCAGAGAAGTCGAAGGGGAGCTTCCAGGGGCTGGGGACCGGGCAGTGGGGGTTGTCATTTAATTAGGGACAGCATTGTTTAGGAAGATGAAAAAGTTCTGGAGGTGGATGGTGGGGTTCGCGGCAGAGCAGTACGAAGGTGTGTGTTTAAAAAAGGTTAAGATGATAAATTTTGTTATGTAGACTTTACAGTGATTAAAAGTAATAATTAAGCCGGGCACTGGTGGCTCACACCTGTAATCTTAGCTACTCAGGAGGCAGAGATCAGGAGGACTTAGGTTCGAAGCCAGCCAGTTTGCAAGACCCTCTCTCAAAAATATCCAACACATAAAAGGATTGGTGGATCTTGGGGATATACCCAAAAGACTGTGACACAGGTTACTCCAGAGGCACCTGCACACCCATGTTTATTGCAGCACTATTCACAATAGCCAAGTTATGGAAACAGCCAAGATGCCCCAGCACTGACGAATGGATTAAGAAAATGTGGTATTTATACACAATGGAATTTTATGCAGCCATGAAGAAGAATGAAATGTTATCATTCACTGGTAAATGGATGGAATTGGAGAACATCATTCTGAGTGAGGTTAGCCTGGCCCAAAAGACCAAAAATCCTATGTTCTCCCTCATATACGGACATTAGATCAAGGGCAAGCACAACAAGGGGATTGGACTTTGAGCTCATGATAAAAGCGAGAGCACACAAGGGAGGGGTGAGGATAGGTAAGACACCTAAAAAACTAGCTAGCATTTGTTGCCCTTAATGCAGAGAAACTAAAGCAGATACCTTAAAAGCAACTGAGGCCAATAGGAAAAGGGGACCAGGAACTAGAGAAAAGGTGAGATCAAAAAGAATTAACCTAGAAGGTAACACACAAGCGCAGGAAATCAATGTGAGTCAATGCCCTGTATAGCTATCCTTATCTCAACCAGCAAAAACCCTTGTTCCTTCCTATTATTGCTTATACTCTCTCTACAACAAAATTAGAGATAAGAGCAAAATAGTTTATGCTGGGTATCGAGGGGGTGGGGGGGGAGAGGGAGGGGGCGGAGTGGGTGGTAAGGGAGGGGGTGGGGGCAGGGGGGAGAAATGACCCAAGCCTTGTATGCACATATGAATAATAAAAGAAAAAAAAAAGGATTGGTGGAGTGGCTCAAGTGGTGCAGCGCCTGGCTAGCAAATGTGTGAGTTCAAGCCCAGGTACCAAAAAGAAAAAATAGAACAGAAATGTACATTAAATAGCAGAGCACTAAATTGTGGATACCACGTGATCACAGCAGTCTCACAAAGAAAATAATACTCTAAGCTTAGTGAAAGGTCAGAAGAGTCACCAAAATTTTTTCATTTTTTTCTTTCTTTCTAGTACTGGGGTTTGAACTAAGGGCCACATGTTTGCTAGGCAGGCGCCCTACCACTTGAGTCACACCGACAGCCCTTTTATTGGTGTTGAATATTTTCGAGATAGGGTTTTGCTTTTTGAGGCTGGCCTCAAAACTTTATCCTCCTGATCTTTGCCT